TGAGTTGAATGTATACTCCCAGTCTGTGAAAGTGTTTTGCCAAGCGATCGTGTCCGGTACGTAGTCTAAACTCAGCAACGGCTTCGATTCTTGGCCAGTTGGCTATGTCGGAGAGTGTCACTGTCCACTGTTTCTCCTTCGCTCGAGCTTTAAGTTCGTTGCACCTCGAGGTTTTGAATTCTCTCCTGATTAAGGCCTTCATTGTGTGGAAAGACATCGGAAGGTCTATGCCTTGCAAAATTTTTGTCCCCTTCTTAGCAAGTGTTTCAGCAAGCTCATTGCCTTTAATGCCACAATGACCAGGAATCCATTGTTGGATCGCTAGTTTGTTTTTTTCTCTCAGCAGCTGATAGAGATTTTTACATTCCTTTATCTCAGCTCTCTTGGGTGACTCTCTGCTTCCAATCATTGTTTTGTCAAAAATGAGCATTACATTATATGACAGGGCTTTGTAAATAGAGATTGAGAAAAAAGGGGATTGGTTGAAACTGTACAGTTGTGTTCATGACTTCTATTTTTCTTCAAACAGAGTAATGAAATTGAATTTTACGTAAGTCGATAAAAATGTGTTTGAGCAACATGTTGACTGAAAAAAGTTCATGGAAATTTCACTTTTATCAGATTTTACTAAGCAAACCCAAAGAAGTTTAAGAAAATTAGAGCGAATAATGGATAGATATAAAGAAAGAGTCCCGCAATTAAAATTATCTTTTTATAAAAGATAGGAATAATTTTTGGTAAAATTGACAAATTCGTCCAACAAAGTATATTCACTTCTTACCATAGGGACTGCATTCTGACATATGTCTAACAGGTGAGCCAGATTCACCAGCCGAAAGAGATATTTGCTTCTCTAAGAAATTCGAGGCTGAATTCCCATCAAAGGAGTTTCCATAAGCAGAGAGAGGCCTTGAGAAATTCATAAGCGACGCGAGTAGTGGGTTCCGTTGTCGATGAGTTCCTTGGTACGTCAGAGCCATCACAGAAGTTGGATTAGTTGACCTTGCTCTTGCTCGTGGAATTGTGATTGGACTGGATGTTGCAGAGAGAACCCGTTGTGGTGCTAGACTACCACTTGGACTACATGGAACAAGGGAATCGATTCGTTTAGACTCCATATTAGTGGGTGAGTTTGCTGTGGAAGCTATGGACGTTTGCCTATAAGATATAATGTTACCAAAGTTTTAGGACACTTAATAAATCCAATAAGTATATTACAAAAGCATGTATACCTGTACACTGTATTGATCATATAAATGTTTTCCGTGAATAATTCAAATTTATTGATACTGATTTATCCCGTTTATTGGACTAAATCACACTGATCATCCCTTGGAATATATAATATGCCTAAATTAATAGTGTGATAGACTTCTTAGTTAAACTCATTGTGATAGTTAAGTCGATAAGACTCATATTAGTTATCTGAGTGACAATAAAATTTTTGGGAAAAATAAGAAATTCACCTTTAATGTTTAACACAACAGATTTCCAATGTACTCATAACGATAATGAGGAGCTAACTGGTGTAGGAAGTCAAATCCAAATAACAATCACTATATTGTATTCACTGAGCTTTGTGAGGGAGAGAATGAGCAGACGTCAAAATGGGTACAATCTCTGTTCGGTAGCAGGTTTTTGTCCCCGAAGATGCTCATGTTTAAAATGTGGAACTTTTAGTCTAACAAAGATCCAATTTTATCAACCAGCTTTGTTTATCTGTTCCCTTGTCGAATTAACCACTTTTCCACTTCTTCATGGTGTGATTCATTCCACGGCCTGTAAGTCGTTTATCGATTTTTTCATTTTATTTTGCATTGGCGTCTCAACTATACGCAGCTAATTGGTTGTAATCATAGCATTCTAATCTCAGCACTAGCACCCGCTCTGTTCTTTACCATAAAGTGTTTTAGTTGTCTCTGAGACGTTCTCCTTATGTAGCGTAGTTTAAATGACCTGTGATAATTCAGTAATCAATGGAGTTATTTTTGACCTGCTGTGGTGATTTATCAGTTAGAGCTTCTTCGGAATGCATGATTGCAGTTGTTTCTGCTGTTCACAGGGTTTCCAATTCAATGCATTAATCTAGTTCTTTGTAAGTGTGAATTGGGTAATTAGAAGCTCATCTGCTCTGATCTCATTCATCATACCACGAAAAGTCTTCTTTTCTATCTCACTTCCGTTTGAAGTAAATTGGATGACCATCGATTGTGCACATAAATGATTTCGTATATTGCCACATTAAATCTAGTGAGAAGAACTAGCTTTAGTGATAAGATAGGCAAGCCCGCCATCCTCGCAAACAACTGCAAACACTAAATTAAGAAGTGGAAGCTGAAGACTAGTTGTTGGTCCTTCTTGTTGAATGAGACGAGAAAAGTGCTAGTCTCCAAACAAGTAAGCTAAGACATTACAAGGAGAAAGAAGACATAGAGTAGTATGTAGAGTAAGACAATAAAGGTAAACTGAAAAGTGGTTTGGGAGAAATGGAATGTGCCATATGCAAAACAAACGGAAACTCTTGGTGGGATGTAGCTTTTGTGGTGAACCAGAATAGTATATTCCTGTTTTCTCCCTAACCAATCAGAATGGCTTTATCATTCGACCATCAAGTCATGTAATAATTCTGTCCTAAGAATTTCTTCTCTGCCGTGTAAAATAGTGACCCAGAGCCCTAGTATCAGTGGTCACTACCAGGCAGCCTAAATATGTGACCAACGCCTGACTGGCTGTGTGGGACTTCTCTCCCACCCCCCACCCACCCCTTTCAACTAAAGTGAAGCTAAGTCCACGGCAAGGAAATTAAGATGACTGTTGATTGCAGGTTAGGCTAAGGTCATCGCTCTTACAATTCCTATATCCGCATTACGATAAGGCCCTTTTATTCATCATTACCCAATTGGGTTTTCATAACTGATCTGAACATAAATAAATGACAGAAATTCACCTCCACCTTATTTAACCTTCTTTTTCCTTTTTCCTGGGTTTTTATAATTTTTTACCATTATTATTATTTTTTTTTTTCAAAACCATGAGTTGAAATATTTCGTTTAGCGGAAAGCATATGCAGTAACCAATAAACTCAAAATTAAACACTAAGTTGGGCTCATCAATTCATTGACAAAAACCAAACTTACTTACGAGGATAGTGCTTGAGGTGTGAAGGGGTAAAATATGTAATCCGCTTCGGGCATAACTGCCAGAAAACCGTTTTTCTGTATTTGCTCAAGCAACATGTCGACGGTTTTCTTGAGACCGATGAGGACATTGTTCAGGAGGCCAGATTTACCCGAATTCTTTTCCCAACTCTCTAACTAAATGGCAAATATAGAGGCAGAGTGAAAAATAATATGTCTGGAAACTGGGTCAATGAAAAGGCAAAATAGATTCTATTACAAATATATTGAAGTTAGGAATGACAAACAATCTCAACTATTCAGGTGTTAACAACAATATATCCACATTTCATTTTACGGATCAAAATTTTACAGTTTATAAATACACATTTGTTGTAAGGGAAGCAAATCTAAGCCATTGCTCAAAGTAGAGTGTGACAAAGCAATTATTTTTAATAGAATTAGAGATTAGTACTTTCTTCATTACGAATTAGATACCATGAAATAAGTACTTAGGGGTTTAAATAAAAATGTACATGGGAATGATTCATTGGTAGCCATTTGCTTCACAAACCAAAGATGTTAGACCATTAGCATCTTGCATTCCAGAAATTCGTTGCTAACAGCTAAAGACCCACCGCCCCGTTACTTCACCCGCCGGTAGTGACATCGAACCTCGAGATACAGTTTGTGTGATGGATTGATCCAATTAAATCTTCTTTTAAATCACAGCAATTGAAGGATTAAAATTTCCCTTAAATATCTTATTTTGGATAATTTATGTATTTAAATAGCTAAGCAGCGAGGATAGTATTAGTCTGATTGCAATATTTGTAGCATGACATAAACCATTTGTGTGGCTACTAAGCCCATGGTTCAATAAACATTAACTTGAATTCAATTATTGGAATCGTTGAAAGTTTCAGCTAACCCATAAGACCAAAAGTGGAATTAACTCAGCCGGCCAGCAGTCTTTAAATAGCATGCACATTATATTAAATTGGAAATATGTCCATAGTAACATTAAGCAGTAAGTGTGTCTAATTAGAGAATATGGACAGCTAAGTGCTTTCAAAATTAAGGTGATACTGAGGATGTCCTCGCATCAATATCACCCTCATCCTCTCTTTTCTTACATTACCAATTTACTCTTATTCATGTTTTACAACATCTAATTTCAAATAATACTATAAAGCATTTAGTAAACAGTGGTGGCGTGTCAAAGTCCTCTCTCAGAGACGCCACCCTCAATAACTATGACTTCATCTTACACAATGCCAATTGACTTGATTAGCTTGTTTTTTTCACTGTGGCATGGTCCTAAAGTTAAGCACTTTAGTTAATTAAAAACATCAATAAATACAGTCTAGGATTGTAGTGTCACGGAAAGTCTCAGTGCAGACAGATTCATTTATCTCCATTAAAGCTTTACAGCTGCAAAACACAGTAAGTTTAAGACTCTAGGTGTTTTAAACCTGCTTATGGCGAAAAGTGACCATTCCTCTATTTACCAAGTACTTAAGTACCTTGCTTTTATTAGACGACCAATCGGTTACATGGGAAGAAAATGCGAGCAGTAATAAGACCAATAAAGTGAAATTTTAGTGAATTAAAACAAAGTAACAATTATTCCCCTAATTTCACAAAAGCGTAGAATCGAAAAAGCCAAAAGCTAATATTTCTAAAAACAATAATGTAACATAGTATAAAGAGGAGAAAATGCTAAGTGCAAGGTACTATTGAAAATTCTAATTCCTCCCAAAGATTATAAATGGATAAGGAGATAAATGTCAGTGACCTTCTTGTGAAAATGAAAGACAAATGTACTTTGAGGATTTCCATTGAGCCTTAATTGTTGGTGTTGTTAAGTTCGGAATGAGGTGGGCGTGAAGGCTTTCGTATTCCGTTATATGCCAACGATTTACCTTAGCCAATTCTGATTTGTATAAACCTAAGAGAAAATAGCCGGCAAATATGCTAAATGCTAAGAGTAAGTCTTGTACCAATTAAAACTAGTTTAAGCAATTAAGCGCGACCTAATTGATTGACAATGTCTGTGTCTGTCTTAATACTATTCCAGCCATTATTTTGGACTAAGTGACTGGCCTGATTCTCGGTCGATCAGGTGTTAATATTTTTTACAATTGAAACCATCAAAGTACTTTCCAATTTTTGTTTAATACAACTGATTTACTCAGAAGCCACTTTTGAACTAGGGTAAATCTAGACTGAGTATTACCACTGGCAATTGGAATCAAGAATCGTATACCTTCATAGGTACTACTAATTATCCGTGTTACTGAGCGAGGAACATGTTGTGAACGAGCATTTTAAGATTGATACTCAATGCAGAATCTTTGTGACAGCATTAGTGATAAAATCAGAACCCTTAATATGCAAATTCATTCATATGCAAAATGAATGTTTATAAAAGGTGAATTACCCTCTGATATACGCTTCCAGTATAAAAATCATTGATTTTTAATCCACTTCCATTTAAGGGACAGCTAAATGTGAGTCGGACTCCTTTACCAATTGTTGTCGGCTGAAACGACTGATTATCGGTTCGAGTGTTAACTTGATCAGCAGAGGTTGATTTCTGGATGTATTCCATTACCGCAGCAGGAAGTTGTGCTTGAAATCCTATAAAGAGGGAGTTATTTTCCTTCGGAGACTCCAACAAGACCTTCTGCAAATTCAGTCTCTTTATAGGATCCTGCCAAAGTGATTTGAGGTGGTCATATTGGGTAGATTGTACGTTTTCACAGCTGACCAATTCCTTTATGGTGACTTTGACCACACGCACAACAAAGCGATCTTTTGTCTGGATACAGAATCGTAGTGGCGGGCTTAAATAATCACGCGCCTTCTGAAAAATGATCATTTCTATTTTAAATTGGTAATTATTTCCTTGCCGTTAAGTAAGTCCATAAATTATGAATGTTAACATGTTAAAATGATTTAGCCAGTATTAACGATGAATGCTTCAAAATATGTAGAGTTCGTATTCACAATTTCTTAAGAAATGTTTATCGTTCTTTACCTTGTCTGTATGAAAAGTATCGCTAAATTTGGCATATTTTGATGGTAATTGTCGTTGTTAGATGTGCCTTTCTATTGTGTTTTTGGTAGAACTATTTAGTGGTGCCATCTAAACAAGAACTACTCAATTCACTAAAACACAGCATTTCGAAAGATACACAATCTAGTAATAATCCTTCATTTTTTATGAGAAATATATGATTTAATTGCATTTACTTTGCTTTTTATGCTTGAATGCGAATGGGCTAATTTTATGGAGATAGTCGTATTTTTTCAACTAAAGCACTTTATATGACTTCCCTGAGGGGTGTCACATCGTATAGATATCAGCCTTATATAAAGCTTCACAAATGTTCCACCTTGAATATTTTTCCTTTTACTAATCCATAAATAGATATATGAAGTTTTAACTACTGAAAAACCTCTTCTAGACATCCTTATCTACAGAGAGAGACTTTGCAGTTCGGATTTGAGTGGAACCCTACTCCTTAAGCGATGCGATCAATAATTCTACCATAACTAAATGCTTAAAGTCAATAAAATTCACTCATTCCCCTACAATTCACTAGTGAATGCAATATTTGCATAGCCAGGACAAGTTGAATAAAAAATAATAAATCTGCTTCTTTCAAAAAGGATATATATTTTTGAACTTCTGTTCCATCCTTGTGTGTTCTAAAAACTGCCTCTTGTTACTGAATATTAAACAACAACCTTACCAGGCAGAACCATGCTGCAATGTTGCATTGCATTCGCTCTAAATATGACTTCATGCATAGATGATCGTAGATTGTTTATATTTTTGCGGATCCATGCAGGCCATGCTTAAAATCACAAAGGATAATTCTGCCATGGAATCTTTTAAGTTCTCCCACGCACGCGCCTTATTTTAGCCAAGGATTCAGCTAATAGGAATACTGACGACCTGTCAATATTTGTCTTTCATTAATAATGGGATGGTGGGGTGTGTGATAGATTTACCTCCACGTGGTGCACCCTGAGCAACGTATACTAATACGGCAAAAATGTCTATCAATCGGTAGTTGACTTCTGACTCCAAACCACCATCACCTCACTCTATGCCATATTCGACTACTTCACAGTACTCACCTCACCTTTTTTCTACCTTTGTGTCTGTCTTTTTTACATCTTTGAATCACTCTTCTGTTCCCCACCCCTCGAATTTTTTCCACTTTGATGTTCCTTCCCCTCTGTGAAGCCTGAAGTCAACTAAAGGGCTAATGATAACTATCAAAACGCCTGCCATTTGATATAAATAAATAATGGGATGGTAAATGATTGGGAGAAAATATACCAATAGCAATGATAAACTAACTTTTCAAACTCCGAAAAATAAAGCCTGGATTCGTTTAAACAAGAGTAGAATTTTATCATGTAAATATTAAAGGAGATTTTTTCCCCGAATGCCAGTTGTGGAAAAGTTATTTTTTATTTGTTTGCCATATTTCTTTGGCCAAATAATCGATGCGATTATAAATCACCTTTAACGTGTGTTCGGGTGATCCACTTGCATCACATAGGAGCTTTCAGATTTCAAAGCATATGGAAGTATTAAAAATTTGAGAAAGCTGGTTAGCTTTGAAGAAATATGGAGTAATTATCTCTTTGGTGAAAATAAATGGAGCTTCAGAAAGGATATATCAGAAGCAAACACCGGTGTTTACGCTATGAAACTAGACGTCTGGAATCTCCTTATTCACGAATCATTCATGGAATTTGTTTGTCTTAGCTCTACTTACAAAAATCTAAGTTTAAATATAACTATCGGCGTTTTGAAAAGTGACTGTTTATGGATTTTCCATTTTTCGTAAACATAAAATTTCAGGTAAACAGTAAAAAAAACGAAGAAGAGCTATGAATAAACCTGACTCCTATCGCATATCAAAAGATTTAACGGTTCTTGCTTTTGTGACCATAAAATAGCTCATAATAACTCTCCAAGTGCCAAAACGCTCAATTTTTTTGTCAAAAGCAAATTGAAAAAATATACTTTTCCATGCTTAGTCTTGAAAAACCTGGACATTGATGTAAAAGCATAATGTCAGACAAAGAATCTGATTTATGGCTTTCTGTCTAGAGGTTAAAATTGATTTATATTTCACTTAGCTCAGCTGCTGCATGTTGGGTGGTATGGGGGATGAGATAGACTTACCTCCACGTGGTGCAAAATGGGCAACGTGTACTCATACGGCAATTGACTTCTGGCTTCTAACTACCAACACCCCACTGTATGTCATATTCGACTACTTCCACAGTACTCACTTCACCTGTTTTCAACCTTTGTGTCTGTCTCTTTTATATCTTTGAAACACTCTTCTGTTCCCCCCCCCCTCCTCTCGAATTTTTTCACCTTGATATTTCTTTATCTCTGTGAGGCCTGAAGTAACCTAAAGGGCTAATGAAACTATCAAAATCGCTGCCATTTGATGCAAATAAATGTTGCGTGGTATAAAAATACAAGGCACAGTTACCCGATTTAGACTTAATTGACTACTCATTGCTGAGTTGTTCAAAGCTGAGGTAAGAGGACTGGAACTGTTCAGAGAAAGGTACTCGAAACCCGGCGTATAAGAAGTTGACAGGTGCTCATCACCTGATATTGTCTGAAGTTGTCTAGGTACATCCATTTCTATTTGATCTGTATTAAAAAAAGAACAAAAAATTGAACTTCTGATTACCAATAGCTCTTTTTAAAGGCTTCGCCTGCAATAGAGAAGGGTTTTAAGATTTAATGGTAAAATTATTCAGGTGAAGGGTGTGTTTGCCTGTCGGCTGTTTTTTGTTAACCCACTCTTATCCAATCGACGCCAAATTACTTCAAATGGGTGGGATTATATTAACACTTCTCGCTAATATAACAGAAAATCGAAATTTTGTGCTCTTTGTCATTTTTATATAATTTTCCCGTTGGTTGTATATTAATCACTACGAACTAAATATTCAATTAATTTCTCTCAAGAAAATTAATAAAAAGTTTTCTTCGATCTTAATTCTACTGGTAAATAATTTTCTTATAAAATCAATATAGCAATTATGAACCACACTAGCATGTGATTGAACATGTAAATATTTGAAATAAAGTATTTGCTTTAAATAGACGTTATTGTGTGATAGCACCAATTGTAGAAACGCTTAAATCATCAAATGAACACTGATATGGTACAAATTTATTACAACATCATGGAAAGACGGTTTACGGTAATCAATCACATTGTGGTCAAATGATATACATTCTAAACAAAGTTGTGAAAATGACGTTGAAAGGCGGAGGCTCGTTTTATTGAAGTCAAAGGTAAATGCTGCAAGATTGTTTTTTTAAAAAATACTTTTACTCATAACTTGATAAAAAACAAATCGATATATTTTAAACAAAACGAGAAGTAAATAATGGTTTCTATATAGCTCTGTTCTATCTTAATATTAACACGTGATTCCCAAATGATTGACTTTATTCCTAAATTACAGAACGCAACCAACCTGTAACTGAATGCATTTTAACAAATATGAAATTTTGCAAATATGGAATGATAAATTGTCAATTTAATTTTTCTTGGAGGAAAAGCTGTCGTCAAGATGGTGCTATGGTGGTCCAGGAACCAAGGAGTTTTGTGATTCCAAGTCTATGGAAGGTCGCATGCATTCAACTAAATCTTCTTTAAATCCGTTTTTTTTATTTTGAGGTTAAGTCTGGTGAATGGGGAAAGATGAATTTTGCCATTGCGTACTTCTTCAACTTGCCAACAAGTTGCCCATCCTGTCCATGGAAATGCGAATGTCAAATGGGGATAATTTGACCATAGTACAAGTTCACAATTAGAATTGATTATTATTTCAGGATACAGTAATATGGTGTACCACGATTCCCGAATACCTGGTGGGGCTGGCAATGATAGTATCGAGTGTGGTAGACCTAACAGTGTAACTTTTTGTTACCTTGAATGATAAAATTATTCAATTTTATCTAATATATATACTTTCACATTTTACGAGGTGATTTTTTTGCATTATCAGTTACAAGAAAATAAGGTGTTATAATAATTCTATGAGAACAAAAATTAACTTACTTTTAAAGGCGAAGTTTCACACAATTGCTTGAATTTTGTGGATATTTAGACGTAAATTCATAGGCGATTCAACAAAGAATGCGTGATTTTATTACAACCTAATTGAAACGCTAACAACCACAAATGTTTATGCACATTCTCAGTCAAAGGACACTTTCCCTATTGGTCGGCTAGCAAACGAACCTTACCTCTCGTTCTAATTGGCTGACTTTATTTTATTTACCAGTAAAAATAAGGCATTCGCAGGAGGTCATGTTGCATGTTTTTACGACTTGAGTAGCTGAGGCATAAACACATTTAGCTAGTTCTAAGCATTTGGAAAAAAATTACTGATTCTGAAACCTAAGGGTCAAATTGTGATTTTCCTAATAGTCTAAGAAACGAACATAGTTTTAGTTTTTTTATAAGTAGGAAGGGAAAACGAAATCAAATTACTGAGAGATTAGATAGTGGCAAACAGAGTTAGATTTAGGTAATTCTAACCACGAGTAGCATTCTTTGTTTGATTAATAGATTCATCATTACACCGAACGAGTTTACCTGACAGTGTCACGGCTCACATTGTTCAGAGAAAACCAAACATAATCTTACTTCAGGGTGCTTGGAAGGATTTCATATGTCCTCAGTGATCAATTATTCTTGAGAAGACTGAATACTTTGTAAAATTTGACCTTCCTTTTTTATTAATTACCCTCTTCTTCACGACAAATACAGCCCATTGATATTGATGATGTTGGTTTTAACATAGACTACCTGTAGGTGACGGTGTTCTGCAGAGTCGGAAGTAATGAATTTAATGCCCATTGCTACGCACCCAATGAGTGCGTAACGGTCAATCACACTAGTTGATAGACATAGAGTTTCTTACCATGGAGGCTCAAAGATGCCACACTCCAACCAAAATGAGCATTCGACAACGATTTTCAAGAAAGGTTTCGAAACTCAGTTGTTATTGAAAAATAAATGCTCAATCACAATAGGATTAAACAAGCCCACTCTTGATGAACATTTTACGCTAGTTATAGCTAATAAGTCGTTTAATTCAATCTAATAATTTTTAGCATAATTTAAATCTCGATCCAAATATCCTTTCAACTCTGCAAAATATCCATCAGTCCGTAGAGAAATCGAATTGGTGTTTAGCTAAATCGATTTGTTATTTGTGCGTTGAAAAATTCTCAATAAAAATCACATTTTATACGAATCTGATTTATTTAGGTTCTGGTAACAAAAAGTTCATTTTATCGGTGAACAACTAAGAAGACTTCTAATTCCCTTATCTTCCATCTGCTAAGCAGAATGCCAAATATTTATTTATCGATTTCAAATGGGAGGGATTTTGATAGTTATCATTGGCCCTTTAGCTGACTTCAGAATGCCAAATGCAAAAGTATCACAGGGTAGATATTAAATTGACCTATTAAGTTCACATTTTCGTAAAAAATACTAGATATAGTAGTGGTAAGGTTGATGTGTTAGTCAATTTTCTATCCATCAATCTAACATAGTTATGACTTTATCCTTTCAACACTACTTCTTCAAGTTTCTCTTCGCCACCTTGGGTTTTGTCGGTTATAGACGAATTTCGTGTCAACTAAGTGTTGAAATATATTTTCAAAGAGTTAAACAAATTGCCAAAATGCGTGAACCATCCTCTCATTTCCATATATCTGTTGAACTTGACAAGTGCAACACGTTTATGATACATAGCCAACTTCCTTCGATCTTAAAATCTTTTTTTTCAAATTTATTAGGACGTTTACTTATTTGTAATTTATGGTGGCTTAAAGTTTATCCAGCCCTTAAAGTCCACGTCTCTTCCTTGCGAAAGTGTACAATATTTGCTCGCCGCTATTATATAAATTGTGGATTTATTGGCCTCGAGATAGCAAAGCTTAGCATATGAAGATTATTTTGTGAATTAGGGTTTCACTGAACAAAGGTGAGAAAAGAGTATGGTGGATAGTTATTGTAAAACGTTGGGATTTGACTCAAACAATCAATAGTGATCGATAATTGTGCTGGACTGAACCTTATTCACATTCTTCAATGTGAAATACTCCATTTCCCATTTAAGATGGATAATACAATTCGTTATTCATTTCCCTCGGTTCCGACTTCTCTAAAATTCAAATATCATTGAAAAAATTGTAAATAGCCGTTTTTACTAATATTACTTTCGTTATCGTTACTATGACTACGTGGTTCCAATGGAACAGTCTATACTCACTTCTGTTTTTAAATCAGAACTAGATTTCAACAAATTCTCCGCATTTTGAATTAGTTTAAACGTCGAATAAGAAGTCGCCTTTTTGACAACTATAAAAATTATAACCTGCAGGGTAACTGAACAACATTTTTTCATCATGGGAAAGAAAAAAAGCACGCAACATTGTAGTCTGATAAGTGGGGTGTACGATAGACTTACCTTCACGTGGTGCACCTTGGGCAACGTATACTCATTCGGCAAAAAAGTCTATAAACTGGCAGTTGACTTCTCACTTCAAACTACCATCACCCCAGTGTATGTCATATTCCACCACTTCTACACTACTCACTTCACCCTACCTTTTTCTCTACTTTTGTGTCTCTTTTACATTTGTGAACCACTCTTCTTTTCCCCTCTCCACTTTTTGTAACTTTGATGTTCCTTCCTCTCTGTGAAGCCCGAAGTCAACTAAAGGACTAACGAGAACTATCGTAAAGTCTGCCATTTGATAGAACTTGGCTGCTAAAAGAGCTACACGAAAAGTAGGGGGATTTGAAGACTGTTTGAACACATAAAATCCAGCATTTCAATTCATTAACGAAAATTAATTAAAAGGTAGAAAAATCGACAATTTCAGAGTCTATATCCAGTACGGCTTTAATTCTCAACTTAAAACAAAAACTTCCCGACATCAGACTTTTCTTTGACAAACTTAATAATAATTACCTAATTTAAAATAATTTTGTTAATAAATTTAAGCCTCCGCTGTGAGTTATTCAATTTGTGGTGGCTGATATAAATGATAGGAATAGGGGCTATTTAAAGTCTCTTGAGTTCGCATGTTGTTAGTGTTAACAAAATTAATTGAAAACAAATAATATATATTTCAAATGGCAGGCGTTATGATAGGTATCATTAGCCCTTTAGTTCCGGCGCCCTGCTTCACAAAAAGGAAGAGGAACACCAAAGTGGCAAAAAGTTCACAGAAAGGAAGATAAACATCCAAGTGGTAAAAAGTCCTGATATTTATCATTAGCCCTTTAGTTGACTTCAGGCTTCAGAGAAAGGAAGAGGAACACCAAAGTGGCAAAAAGTCGAGAGCGGAAAGGAAGAGGAACATCAGTGGCAAAAATTCGAGGGGTGGGGAACAGAAGAGTGATTCACAGACGTAAAAGAGACAGACAGACACAAAGGTAGTGAAAAGGTGAGGTGAGTATTGTGGAGGGGGTCGAATATGAGAGAAAAGGTGAGGTGAGTATTGTGGAGGGGGTCGAATATGACATACAGTGAGGTGATGGTAGTTTGAAGTGAGAAGTCAACTGCCAGTTTATAGACTTTTTTGCCGTATGAGTAT